AAAATAAAAATAACAAAAAAATAAAAAAAGAGAGAGAACGGACCACCTGACGTATACATCCCGTACAAAATTCCAATTCTGCCATCGCAATCGTCACCTTCTTCGTCGATGATAAAGCACACCAGCTCAACACACAAAACCACATGCATATAATACATCTCTCGCGCGTCGCGAGCTTTACGTATCCAGCTCTCATCTTTACACGCGACGATGCAGGTGAATTTTCATGCCTCTGTCTATCTCTCTCTCTCTTGGTCTATCAAGTGCCACTCTGTTTATTTCCAGCCTCCCCCCTCCCACCTACCCCTTATCTATACGTACGAAGAGAAGATTCCGATGCTGCCGCGTAATTAGCATAATTTCGAAATCCGTCTCCGACACCACGTGTGTACACACAGGTATTTGTAAAAGTGTTAATAATAACAATAACAGCAACAATAATGATTATAATGTGTATACCTATACCGGAGGAATGCCTGATACCAAAAAGTATACTGCTACCTCTATCCCCGTTAACGTGCACCACACGTGCGTCTCTGCAGCTTGTTATTATATTAGCAGAGCCATCCACACATATATAATATATTATAACAAAGACTTGCGCGAGAGAGGAGTGAGCGTAGAGGAAATTTTCCGTCGTGCCAAAGTTGTGGTGGTGAAAAGTTAATAGGTACGTGTGGAGAGAAAGGACACGAGTACGGCAACGTAGTTTGGTATTTTTTATTTATTTATTTGTTTTTTTTTTTTTTCTTCTTTTTTTTTTTACCACAAAACGTTACAAATTAGTCTTTACCCTATTGGGGTGCATACCTATACGTGTGTACACGAGTGAATTTCACGATACACTGACCGAGACGGACGTTGTAGCCTGTGACACGAGTTGCAAAAATATACAACGTCAGCGTATCGTTGACCCGAAAATTGTTGGACGAGGCATTCGATAAAAGGGAACCGCGTAAGTATACAGTTTTTACACGACCGTGCATTAATAATCCCACCGTACCTACTCACTTTTAATTAAATTTTACGTACAAAACAAAAAACAAAAAAAAAGATCTTTCAGACACGCACGCAGACGTATCGCAGCAGGTAAATGTACTTGTTTGCACTGCACATTATATTATACACATGTAACGTACGAGCGCGCGTGAGATCGAGTAATCGAAAAGTCAGGTCGGATCAAGAGTAACCGAAGCGTGCGATGATATAAGCGACCGACTGATTGGGAGAGAAAAAAAAAAAAAAAAAAATGCCAACGAGCGCGAGGGAGAAGGAGAATTGAGACACATCTTTGGTGCTTATAATATAATATGTACGGTATAGGTATATATTATGTACATTGAAAGTCGAAAGCCGGCTTTCTCGCTCGCGCGTCGGACACCAGCGGGAGAAGAATATTAAGGGAGAAAGAGGCGAGGAGGAGAGAGCGAGCCAACCGACAGACAGACACCTGTTGTTGCCAGTGTCGGGCCTATACGCTCGAATCTTTAAAAATAAAAAAAAAATAAAAACGAATAAATCCTGTGGATATTAGGTATAACCCTTTTCCTTCTTACATTGTTAAACATGGATTTATAATTAACACTAAAAGTTTCTTTTTTTTTTTTTTTTTTTTTTTTCATTCAATGAGCAAGTATCTTGCAGCCACTCCATTCAAAGCAGCAACAGGTTGACTGCCAGAAAATCATGCAATTTCACGTGGTGTACTTGAAGAAACTGGACCGCTTGTCTTTCTAATATGGTATACGCTTGGGCAACCAAATTTATACGTTCGTACTTTTTCTGGGTGGGGCAGAAAAGAGGGTGTAATTTATTATTGCAGGGTAAACCAGATCCAAATGACCATAGGTATACACACCAGCCAAGGTGGCTTTTCAATTTCACCTGATGATTTTTTCATAGATTCCAACGTGTGGCTGACGGGGATAATGATAATACAAGGCGCCTCTCGCAGCCCGGCGGCGCCCGCGCTCCTTCGTATTCTCTTTCGTTATCAATTTTCCTCCCGTCTCATCTCCTCCGTTCTCCCCGTATCGGCTATTTGGCAACTTTCTCCGGTCCCGTAGAAGAGAGGAGCGAAGCGAGACTACATAATATATATATATATGGAGGATTTTTACTGCCCGGGAAAACGAGTGGGAAAAACTATGCCCGTACCGCTACCCCCCCGCCACTTTACTACCTGTCCGTCTTAGGAAACGGATATGCCCGACTACTGTCCTATACCTAAAGGTGTGTGGGGGTGCGTTCACAGTTCGAAGAAACTACAGCCGTGGGTCCGATCTCGGTGATACTGCACTATATATACATATACTGTTCTGTTGTCGAGTGCAGTTGGCGAAACTCTAGTTCCCCGCCCCTTGACCCTCGTCCTGTTGGTTTCTGTTTATCCGGTGTCTAGCTGTCGACGGTCGAGACACAGCTCTTGAAATATACACCCAAATATGTACCCGTGGACAAGTTAAGAACACCTGTACACAGTGCATACCGATCTCGGTTGTTCAATCGTTACGCTCAACGGGAAAACTGCACGGTCATTGTAAGCGGGCCCACGGTGGTAGTTGCCCCTATCCTCCGAGATGATCCTTTTTTTTTCCATCAATTAATAATACGCACAAATGGCAAACGGTTTTTTTTTTTTTTTTTTTTTTCGCCATTCCGTTCGAGCTCGTTATTGAAGCCAAAAAGTCACAACCTCGCTATACGTATACAAGCGCGGGGGGGCTTTGTTTTTTCGTTCCTTTGCACCGCAGAAGTGGAAAAATAAGTGTTTTTCGCGTGCACGCACGGCAGTATAAAGCTGCCTATTGTCGTGCACGCACGGGTATACCCGAGAGCCACGGGCGCGGAGTTCGCGGAAGATCACTTATCCGACGCGCAAATTTTTTTTTGCTCCTCGAGACCGAAGGAAGCCCGGTCTTGTGTGTAATGTCAACAGTCGCGCATGTCGGTCGCGATATCTATTGTTGGGGTTATTTCGAGGAATTTGCCGGCCCGCCGAGTGTGCCGATCGATACGATCACCGGAATCGGTATGGACCGTCCGTGGGTCGCTGTTATAGTTTCGGGAATCGCGGCGAATTTTTTTCCTTTTTTGACGTTCATCGGCGATCGATACCGCGGGCTATCGCAATTTGCCGAACTTTGGCGTCGGAGCCGAGCGGCGAGAGGGTCTCCGGGTATATAATATAATGGCACTCCGAGCCATTGTTCGGCGAGCAGCGCGAGCCACGGAGATCGGTAAATTTCGCACGTCTTTTTTATTTCGCGCGACGCCTCCGGTGATCGGGTCTTCTCCCTCGGTTTTTCTTTATGCGCCGATAAAACTGTTGGTCGTGTGAGTTACTGCCGCAAGTCTCTCTGCTCTGTGTGTTTTTTAGTGCCGTGACGCGAAGGACCAATGGACGATGATTGCGTACTTTGTGACGTTGCAGTTGTAATGGAGTTTCGTTTCCCGAACGAGTTATTGTGAAAAACTCCACATCATTTTTTACCGAAACGATGACAATGGACACGGTAAAAATCAGCGACATTACATGTATACACGTCATATCGAGCGCAGACAAAAAAAACTTGGTTGTCTTTATGGTACGGCGTGTTATCGTCAAACTACGTGTACACAACTTGATTTTTTTTTTTTTTTTAGTCTCAACTCATGATCCCCTTCTTCGCTACTGTATTGTCATGTCAACGATTTTTCATTGACATGGTAGAGTCGATTTGACGACATTATTGCTGCTCGATACAATCGAGTATCCACTAGATACTGTTTTCGAGAAAAATCTAAGCAAAAGTTCCGTATTGTATAATCAAATTTCATAATACGCACGAACAAGTTAATAAATCTCATATCGTTTTGTAGTGGGGAAAACAAGCCATGTCGGCGCGTCGACTTTATCGAAACATAATACCTATATACACGACAAAGCACAAAAACGTCTCGGCCCCGGGACTCACGACACTATGCCTATACGTAGCGAGGAATCGCTGCAGTAACAGTAATTATAATGGGGATCAAAAATGTCGCGTATCATCAGTTGCCGCACCACTGGCACACTTCAACATCATCAGAAAGAGCCGGCTACGATACATGAGCGCCGATTGATAAAATAGGTATACACGTATACATGTGGCAGGCACTAGAAAAGCGGAAGGGAGAGACGAAAAAATTGGCAGCTCTGTACGACTCGAAGGAAGAAGCCGTTTGATTAACCGCCGTACGAGCACGCAGTGGAATGTTTGATGCCCGTAAAGTAGGATGATAATAAAGGCGTACAAGAGCACGATGTACAGGCTCGGGTATCGATACGGCCAAGAGTCGCAAAACTGCAGTGCGTAATAATAGTCATGTTGCACCGTTTTTCTTTCTAAAGCCACATCTGGGACCTTTTTTTTTTTTTGGGCCCTTGCACCCTACATTATCTACCTTTTAATTGATTATAATTGGATGATTGCGTGCTCTTGGCGGGTGTGTGTGAATCGCAAACCATTTAATTATAGTTGTGGGCTTTTATACGGAGACTCGATGAATTTTGTGAGCTTTTATCGAAGAACAATTAATCATTCCTCGACGGTAGCGGCCTTTAGATTGCGTAGACTGCGAATCTAATCGAATGGTCAAAATCGCCGATCGTTGATAATAAATAATACAGCTTAAGGTTTTTTTTTTTTTTTTTTTTTTTTTTTTTTTTTAAAGGGGACAAAAAAAATGGTTTTAAAATAAAAAAATTTTTTTTTTTTTTTTTTTTTTTTTTTTCATTCAATGAGCAAGTATCTTGCAGCCACTCCATTCAAAGCAGCAACAGGTTGACTGCCAGAAAATCATGCAATTTCACGTGGTGTACTTGAAGAAACTGGACCGCTTGTCTTTCTAATATGGTATACNAAAAAAAAAAAAAAAACCTTATACAGTAGCGTTTCAATAGAGGAAGGCTTTCTTCGCTGTGTATACCTAATGTTTCTAGTCGAAGAAAGAAAGGGAAAAAGCACGAGTGTACCCACCTTGGCGATGTCGGGCGTGCTCGTCAGTCCGAGGGACTTGAGCATGCTGCTCTTGAGATGAGCGAGCTCTTCGGCGCTGAGCTCGTCGTCGAAATCCTCGTCGCTCCAGTAGCCCTCGGCCATCAGCGTCTGAATGCCGTGGAGCAAAAGAAAACCCAACCCAATGCCGATCAGCAGTATGAGCGTCAATCGGCTCTTTGTCGGGGTCTCGTGCTTCTGCTGCTGCTGGGAGATGCAAGGATGCTCGTCCTGCTGTTGCTGGTAGTAGTGGGAATGATAATAGTTCTGGGCACACTGCTGGTGGTATCCCGAGGTGAGGAGCTTCGCGAAGCCCATAGCCGTAAAACGCTTTGTTGTTGTGTAGGTCGGAGCGAGGCCCGGGCCTGTCCAACCCAAGGCCTCCCTCGTCCGCCTCCTGATGCACTCGAGGGATGCGCGCTTATGAGCCGGCAACTTTCTCACTTGGGATCGGCAATAAATTTCGCGGGCATGTCACTCTAGGCTTACTACACAACTTTGTACAATGTTGGCTCTGTGGTGTCCTCGCTAGTGCCAAATCAATCGAGGTGGGTAGAAGTTAGACGGGCCGAAGATTTGGCGCGATCGGTTGTGACGCGTCAAAAGAGCCGCTGAATCGGCGCCACCGCTGGCTCACCATTTTTACCTCGAGAGTAACGATCGATCGTCAGAAGAGGTATTCAGGTATCGGTAAAAAATTCAGTTGAAGGAAAAAGTGGTCGTGAGTGACGAGTGTTATCAGTGTAGCTTGGCGCAACAACCGGGACAGAGAAAAAGGGAGGAATGGGCGACCGGCTCGAGCGAGTGCCGCGTGTCGACTGTTTGCTCGGACGCGTCGGCCGCGAGTGTATATGCCCCCTGTCTTTCTCTCTCTCTCTCCCTCCGTCGCTCTCTCCCTCTTTTTCTCTGTCCCTCCGCATGTACTGCGTGTACGTGTATACATACTCACTTATAGTATCTCTCTCTCTCTCTCTCTTTTCGGAGTGCCGCGTGTATATATATATAAGTATACAGGCGTAGGAATGCCCGTCTCGTGCACATCCGAATGTGTCGTCGTCGTCGTCGCATCACCGGTGCTCCCCGCTACCTGTGCCCGCACACCGCATAAAAGTACCCAACAAGTACGGGTGTAGCCTCGGTCTCTCACCTCCTCTTCCGCGTCTCGACGAGATGTCTCTCTTCCGTTGTTTTTCGCCACGCACTTCCAACACGGGTGCAGAGCTTTTTACCCTTTCGATTTGCGTTTGTCGGCTCGCGCTTGGCGCTTATTTCTCTTTTTTGGCGTCTTCTCTTCTACCCTTCCGGAGATTGCTCCGAGTTGGTTTTCGCGTCTCGCTTCAACCACGATCATGAAAAGTTAAAACTTCATCTCTCGAAGTTGCTTTGAAGCACGTGTCTACAGTTTCTTTTTTTTACTTTGGGCTTTCGTTTGCAAGGGTGTGACTGCGATTTCCAGGGGAGTGTGAGTACACCGGGGGTTGTAAGTTGACAAAAAAAAAAAAATTAATTATTTTTCCCGTTGGGTCCAGCGTGTAGGCGTATCTCACTCGAGTGGCGTGTGTAATGGAAAAACTTGGCGTCCATAGCGTGGCCTACTTTGGGGGATGGTAATACGAAAAAGGGGGTGAGAAATCGTGTTACAACATACTACACGGCGACGCACGGTTCGTCCAGTGTGAGCAGGACGCTGAGAAAATAAGAAAAAAAAAAAAAAAAAAAAAAAATAAAAAGAGGGTAGAGAGCTGCATCCACCTTGAAATTCAAAATTAAATTATGGCATTAAAAAAGTGCGAGCCCGTCTGTCTTTGCAACGGGACGCCGCTGCGCGCATTAGCCGTGGTATATACCCACGTCCTCGGCGCGACACTTGAACCCGCTCCCTCCCTTCCACCCTCTCTTTTAGTTTCTTGGAATACGAGGAAGGTAAAAAGGGNAAAAAAAAAAAAAAAAAAAAAAAAAAAAAAAAAAACGGTTGAGCGCGAAAACGTCGAGAGGAAATAAGTGTAAAAAATGGCATTAAAAAAGTGCGAGCCCGTCTGTCTTTGCAACGGGACGCCGCTGCGCGCATTAGCCGTGGTATATACCCACGTCCTCGGCGCGACACTTGAACCCGCTCCCTCCCTTCCACCCTCTCTTTTAGTTTCTTGGAATACGAGGAAGGTAAAAAGGGCGTTCTATACTTGGATGATGTGTTTATATACGTGTACACGATAAACATACGCGCGTCATACGGACGCAAAGTTCACGGGAAAAAAGGCAGGGCTAAGCGACAGCTTTCGCCCGCGCGTGTAACCATATTTATATATATAATTATACCCAAGTATGTACATTTTACACGTATATACTGTACGACGCGTATATGGTGGCGCGTGCGTGAGAGAAAAGATAGATAAGACCGGCGTCACGTTGTAGCCACTATATGCCAACCCCCGTCGACACTTTACGATCGAGAAACAGCCGTACTTGGAAACTTGGAGTGCGTAAAAGGGTACATTATTGACGAGAAAAAAAAAAGGTGAAAGGGGGAGTGTGGGGCGGGATGAATCAAAATTCCCGTCAACGGTACAACGTAATACACCTATTGGCCAGGTGCAAGTGATGAGAGGGGATAGATGAGTCGACGCCAGCGTGCATAGTGGCAAAAACAGGAAAGCTGGGGTACCAAATTACTGTCATTTTTGCTTAATTGAGGAAAGAATAACAGTATTTCGTCAAATTTACACATGTTATCATCACATATGCATAAATAGTATCAATATTATGAAATTGCAGTTACACAAATGTAAAAAAAAGAACTATGTGGTGCCAAGAACGGTTGTAAAATGTTTGAATGTAACAACATACTTATTAATGAAGCCTCGTTAGTTTTCGATCCAGAGCACACTCTCAGAAGCAGACCACAAAAAGAAAGATAAATACGCGAAATAAGACATGATCATTATGATTTCTATTATTTAAACGTTTATGAAATGTGGGTGTAAGAAAGTGCTATGCTGTTCAGTGTAACAGAAGGGCAAAGACAAATGGAGTAAAATTACATAAATTTCGATGATTATCCAACTGTAAATAAAGGTAATTTTCATGTGCATTGCAACTTAGGCAATTTTCAAAATAATCTAAATAAAACGTACATGCAGGTTAACTTTGTAGGGAGCTGAAGTTACCGATCGAGGTCTGCCTTATTACGACGGCACTTGTCAAATTGCTAACTTCATCACTATAAAATTCGGTAACAACGCACACATGACTACTTTCAACCAACTGTTTAATTCTTTTTAAAAGCTTCAGAGTTAAAACAAGTCAAATGTGTGATATTCCTAAAGCCTGTTTTTATGATAAAATCCATTATCAGATGAATAAATACACTAATTTGTTGCTAGTTAATTAATTATTACCAAAAGTGGGCATCGGTGTATGCTGTTGACGTGTAATGTGGGTACCCGCGGTCGCATGATTTTGACACCAAGGGTGGCGCTGCATGACATGCACCTGGCCAATACAATGTCACTCAGGTGTATATAATATATACCGTATATAGGTGTAAATAATGATGTACCGTATAGTATATTTTTGTGGTTTCAAATCACGAATAATACCCGTACCGATTTTTAAAAAATCGTCGCAAAGACAACCATTCATATATGTCTTTTTCTTCTTCTTATCGCCCATTTTACAGGTGTACCCGTTGTAGTTTGCTTATAATATACACACACGTGTTGGTGGCTATTGTTACCCTAACACGCAACAGATCGCTTGTCGATCGCTATCGAAACGGAAGCGTTAAATTATGCTCACGGATTATGAATAATTAGCCGAGTACCCGTACTCATTGGCTAGTCCAAACAAGTGATGGCAAGCTGACGTTAGCTTATCACGAAGCGGATAAGTGTAAGATGTACGCGTTGCGTGGAAAAAAAAAAAAAAAGTAGCGCACGGTTCATCGGTATAGGGGAACTATAACTGCTTTTACGCTTATTAAAAGTGTGTACACCGTACTATTTATATATATGTCGCAAGAAACAGGCAAGCGTAGGTACACTTATTACGGGCTTTGGATCCGCATACATGTATGTATATAATATTTACACGCATATACCTGAACCTACACGCGCAAGTATAGGTATTTTTGACACGCGTGACGTGACATTAGCAACGAAACGCGTGCGATATTTAATTTCGACACGCTGCTGATGCCTCATGTAGTGTGCGTGTGTGTAAAGGTACTGCATGTGCCACACACACACACACACACACACACACACGCACACACACACACAATTTACCGTGCATGCGTGCACTCTTATATATATATATATATATGTGTGTGTGTGTGTGTGTGTGTGTGTGTGTGTGTGTGTGTGTGTATAAGTATGTATGCGCCGAGGCACTTTATTTCCATGAGGCAAACGCAACACGAGTATGTGCCGGAGCGATAAAACGAAATTAAAAATGCCAAAGGAGAAGAGGAAGAAGCTGGTCGGTCGGCCTGATGGTCTCGCGTATATGCGTACACGTAGAAAGTGAGGGGCGGCGAGGGAGAGAGAGGTATTATAGGTACCCCCGTATACGTACCACCTGCACTCTGCAGATTCCCATCCCTCATCATAAACGCGTGCAGTGCTAATAAACAAACGTGTATATATATATACACATGTATACGTATACAGCACACATGCAGGCTTCACCCCCTTTACCTCTAAAATGCGCCTTCGATTCGATAATCTGGGCCTTGAGACGGGGACGACGAAGGCTGGGCTGGGCCACGAGTGCACTGCACGTCGGGTTTAATTACTCGAAGGCGTCACGTATGATACGTACGGCAAAAGGACGACGAGGGATGAAGAGGAGGAGGTGGGCCAGCAGCAGCTGCTGGGTGGTCCTGGTGAACACCTCGACGATGGTATATACACCATCGGTACTCATACAGTGTACCTATAATACATAACGTCGTCATACGTACCTTCCAGTTGTGTGTATACGTGCATACGGACCTTTCCTCGGTTAACCGATATGATGACGTTGTTTGCGAGCGCGATCGGCTTGTTTGTCGTGTGGCGTTACTGCTCTACATTTACCTGCACTTTTTTTCTTTTTTTTTTTTTTTTTTTTGCCTCTGGTGTTTTCGAGGAGCCGGGGATCCGTTAAAGCTATATTGTGTTCTCTTGGTACATCGGTATACGCACGTTTAGCCGTTTCGTGTGACTCGTTACTGCAATGGCCATTACACGTCGTGATATATTTTTCATTATATAGTCGTACATTGCAAGGTAAATTCCAGACGTTTTGAGGAAAAATGTATACGCACGTGATACATAATGGCACGCGAGCGCAGAACGATTTAACGAGAGGGGAACGCAACAGTGTGCAATCGGTCGGATCGATGAAAATATCCCCGTGCGATTACGCCAATGGAACACTGGACGATTTGCGAGATACGTTGTTTTTGTAATGTTTATGCGCTCACGCGCTCACGCAAGTGCAATTAGAATATCCTTATTGTTTTGTTTCCCCCCCCCCCTCATAAGAGCCGTATATGATCGAGCGATCGTCGTTTTATGCGATTGATTGGATATTAAAAAGCGGCTTTGTTTCGCATTGTGATTTATTGTGAGCCTCGTTGGCGATAAATTAACGTGTCAAAGGTACCGGTGTGTGTTTATTTATACGAGGACATATTTATTATAATGTATCGTACCGCCGTTAACAGTACATAGACTACGGCAGCTATTTAGCGACACCGGTCGGACTGGAAGAAAGAAATAATGTGATACCTCGTCGAAAGCGCCGATTGGGTATACATATTTATAAACGTGTACGGGCCATGATTTGTATGGGAAAAGGGAAAAATATACTTACTGTTTCCTCGTACAGATTTTAATGATATACCGATCGGTATATATAGCAGGAAAACCACGCTGTAAGTAATAATGTTATACCGATCACACGAGCTATATATACTGTCATGTAAGAAACGCTCTCGATTTTTCAAATTAATTACTATTACTTGATCGACTCTTTCAAATTCGCACCATTTCACCTATTGTACGTAAGTACTCGCTCGCATTTCGCACGCCAAAGAAAAAAAAAATTATTCCAACAAATGAGTGTTGGGGATTAACAAAGGCTTAAATTTTTTACCTACACCCATTAGCTTTTTCCGTATTGTATTTACTAGATGAAGCTGTTCGAGCAGTTCATGATACAGACCGATTTAATTATTTCTCAAATGTTTTCAACGGATGATGGGGGGATAAATATATGTGAATAAAAATGTGTCCCAATCAATCAAAACGGAATCAAACTCTGTAAATGCGTAGGTACGCAAAACGACTACATCAGACGAGTCAACGAAGTGAAAAAATATTGTCCTCGCGCTGCAAGGACTGCGCGACGATATAACATAGGCAGGGGAATCCCCCTTACGGTTCGCGTTTTTTATAACTCCTGTATTTTTTCCGTCCCCCGCGACAGTAGGTACAAGTACTACACACGAGTAGTGTACACACGCGAACCTGCGATGACGCGATGCCGCGCAATGCATCACATACTTATGTGTATACAGTTACGATGTAGAGTGCAACAGACTTTCCGCGAATTCCACTCTCGGGGCCAATCAATAAAAGCTCCGTAACCGGGACTGCGGCCGGCCTTCAACTTGCACTAGAAGCGTTCGCCGAACTATTTATACTTCATGTATTACATATAGGTATACGTGTATAAGCTTCGCATCCTGATTATCTTGCATTGCGAACTGTTTTGTCGCGCTCTTCCCGGCACTTATTAAAAATAAAATTTCCGACAATCAAACACGTTTTGGATGAACGTGCAAGTGATTCTAAAGAATATCGGTTGATGAATTAGTTGTCAAGTATTACGGAAAGGGCCATTTCTCAAAAGTTTCAAATTTTTGCCGCTCAATATTTTTCTTCATAAATTATGGTAGCTCTTACCATACGAAGTTCATTAAGGTTAAATATTCGCATTTTATCAATGAATACGCGACTCTGATGGTTGAATTTAAAAACAAGTTACGAATTTCGAGACGAACCAGCTTGTCTGATAATACGTCAATGGAACTCTGAATTTACGATTTTTGTGTATAGCTCCGATTACACTTGACGTCGTTACAAGCAGACTTTGGCACAATCAATTTATATTCAGAATACAATATTACAAGTAAAGAAAAATCTTCTCCCAGATAATACGAAGAGCATTTGAGGTATTAAAGTTTATTGTAAAGTATTTGAAATGAAATGATGAAGTACTTTTTCAATAGCTTTGACTAATTTTTTTCTACCTCGACGCAGCACCTTAAAAAAGAAAGTTGCATTTCCAAAAAATCGAAGTAGCACCCGAGCCCAAGTCTTATTACAAGCATATTATGCGATTCGGCAAATCAATTTGATCTTTGGTGACGCACTGCAAGTACCTGTTAGAAGAAAAAAGGCCTAGCAAAATTCCTCGTAAATAATGTAATGTACGCGCAGCTACAGTTCCCTCTTTGACCCACTTATTCCCTCAACGCACGACATACGGTCACTTGATCCAACTTAACCAGTGATCCGTCACGCTACATTGTCACACCGTGCACACGTTGTAATTGATTATTAAATTTGGAAAAAAAAAAAAAAAAAAAAAAAACAATCAGGAAAGTCGGCGAAGCTTCACAACCAACGACGATGTTACTTAAACGTGACATCATCATAGTAGTAGGGTAATTGCGCTCAGTCGTGGATCTATATAGTAATTGTCATGTCCCTACACGCGCGATGAGTAAGCGGCTGAGGTCCCGGAACCGATTGATCGGGATTTCCAGGTAACCCTATCTCTATCTATCCTCAAGCAGGTGCCACATTAACCATGAACTTTGAATTCCCCGCGAGGCCTCCCTACACCCCCACAGTTATACTACCCGCACGCGCGCTCGCGTTTTCTTTACTTACCACCTATACGTCCGATAATTTTTCTCTCTCTCTCGCTCGCTCTTTCTTGTTTCCGCTCGAGCCCCTCGAGAGAGTTGCTCGTGGTGGGTCGGTGGTATTTCCCCGCGCGTCGGTATCCGGAATGGTCTAGCTCGTCTGGGAAAATTCTAGCGAAAAGCTCGCAAAGGGCACAGGCATGGCCGCCGGCTAATCGGTTTTCTCGGAAGCTCGCGGGGGTGGCAGCCCCACCCCCGCCCGGTCTCTCTTCGCTTAATTAACGAGGAGCTCTCTCTGGGAGGGGGTGGGTCGGGAAGTCGATCGCTTTTAAATGAAACGCGCGTAAGTTCCGTTCCGTGGAATCGGCCGAGCTTTTCGCGCCGAGGCCTCTTGGCTTCTATTTGGCTTAGCTCACCCCCCTTAGTCACCTCTCTCTGCTCGCAAGCTGTCGTTTGCAGGAACGTTTTGATGCACGTCTCGCGTAATTCGACGCAAGGAGCTCTGCTGGAAGGGAAGGAGAAAAAGAAATAAAAATCCTGTCTCACCGAATTGCAGGCACATTACCGTGTCGCTGTTTATTCGTCGAATGGTTTGGTTTACTCGTTCTCGGTAGGGCGATACGCTGTGTATATATAGTTACGCGCGTGTATTTCATTCAATCGTGTTTGATCAGTCCCGGCCTCGGGGTTTTAATTTAATTTTTTTTTTTTTTTTTTCATGAATTCCCGTAGCCTCGATCAACCCATCGACTAGCTTCGGATGATTTCACGGGGATGACAAAATTGGGGGAAAGAAAGCACGAATGACAAACTTGGTTATTATAAATCATTATGCTCTCGAGCTCGTACGTAAAGCTGCGAAACTACAGTTTTAGTCGTTCCTGCACAACATGGCTTTATTACGTGGAGTCAAACACCGCCCAACCCATTAGTAAAGCGTTCCTTTGCATGTCTCGACGTGTGCCTAAGTAGTGCCAAAAAAAAAAAAAAAAAAATTTAAAGCACAGTTAACAGCAAAAGCTCCTCGATGGGTCGTCGAAAAAATCCACCCCGAAGGGCACGGTGAAATCGTCCCGAACCGTCAACGCGCTCCTTCCTCGACGTGCGAAATACCTATATGCTTTCTCACGGCTATTGTTGGGAGAGGAAGTGGGCGAGATTATTATTTGAAGCGTTCCCCTGCTCCTCGACCTTTTCGGCGTTGCCTCGCAGAAAGAAAGGAGAGCAGAGATAAACCGAAGGGCTTCTCCATTTTTTAACCATTGCACGTACGTGCAGTAGTAGAGCACGACAATGTCATGTAGGTATATATATATGCCTGTATTATGTATACACGCGTATGGTATGTACCCTCAGAACGAAACGTCCAGAAGCGGCATTCCGTGCTGTAAGGCTTCCTATCGCTCTCTCTTCCTCCTCTTCCTTTTTCACCGCTTTCCGCCTCTCTCCGATTTTTTTTTTTTTTTCTTTTTTTCTTTTTTTTTGCGCAAAGTCTATTGAGTAACGTAAAAATCACCGTACGGTAATATGACGTTTAACAAAGATTAATTTAGCAAAAAAAGCCAGAATCACATTATTATATCTTACAGCAATATATTTCAAACTTTTTGCAATAAAACATCGTACTCTGTAACTGTACGTAACAACGCGAAAGGTACAATACAGGCGATTAATCATTTTTAAATTAATAAACGTGCAGTTTTAAAAGTTATCATATTGTGTACGATGTTAATGTGCGTGCAGTGTGTAAGAGAGGAGGCTCTTGGTTGGAAATTAATTGACGAACGAGCGAAAGCGAAATATATATGCCAACAGTCAAGTTTCGCGAAAAAAAGGGAGGAGTAGGTGGTGAGGACATTTGCATCCTATGAGTATCGAGTGAGACTTTTTTTTATCATCCCCATCATTTTTTTTGCACTCGGCGATCGTGTTTGTGCATTACATTATAGCGCAGAGAGCCAATGTGATTGAGATACTTTGAAAGGATTTCTTTTGCTTCTTCTCCGTTTTGGGCATTTTATCGAAAAACCTCTGCGGGTTTGAAAAAGCTTCCGGGAATAATACGTTGCATTCGAAGGAGGGTCGAACAAAAGTGTGCATGTGGAATTCGGAGGTGTTCTCGTGTAACAGGCACACCCGGACATTTCAAAGAGATTAGGTCATCGTTCTAAAACACTGCATCTAAGAGAGAGAGAGAGAGAGAGAGAGAGGAAAAAAAGGATAAAGACCTCCTCTGTCCTAAGTGATGCTCGAGTGCTATCGTGAAGTATATGTATACACGTGCGTAGTGCAGCGAAAAGGTATTTTTCACTTTGGTACATTATGCATGCCCTACTGGTCCATTGAGTGATTTACTGTTATCATTATTACTGTATTTTAAAGGGGAGAGAAGAAAATTTCGATAAGCTATAATATATTATGGTAAAATCGCATGATGATGATTCATTAACTTTGCGTCACTTGGTCAACGATGCTTTTCAACATTTCGACACCTTCGACGTTGATCTTCTCGTAACCGGGAGTCGATTCCTTCACACGATCGATCCATTTCGTCACGTTCTCGTACCCATCGACTTCGAAGCCCAACGCCTGACAAATACATTTATCTTCAATAACTAATAGTCCCCCCCCCACACCCCCACGTGCGTAATGTAACGTTGTTGTTTGCTCACCTCGGCCGTCGTGACGGACGAGACGATCGACAGGTCTGCCACGCTCAAAGTCCTGCCGGCCACGTAGTCCTGCCGCCCCAGCATCGCGTCCAGTACCCCAAACGCGTCCCTCAGTTTCTCCAGTTTCTCGGGCGAGTACTCCTCTTCCATCTTGAATATTACTGGGAACTGCAATTTTTTTTCTCTTTTCTTATCATGGAATATGTGGATATTTGCACACGCAAAGTGAAAAGGAGCGAAAAAAAAGCAGCTTCTGCCACGGCTGATGTGTCATAAGACAATATTCCGTGTAACCCGATAGTGCCTGCATGCAGGGCGGGCAATCTCATCGAGTTGGGTGAAAAAAACGAAAATCCACGGGCCGTAGGGCTCCCGCGTTGGGGAAAAAAAAAATCGGTCCTTTGACGTCGCCTTTCATCAGTTCCCGTGACGCGAGAAATTTCACGAGTTATACCGCGGTTCATTAACGGAGCAAAGAAGAGAAAATAATAATCAACGAGCCTTTCTTTCCCATCCCACTAATCACGTGTTGCGTTCAAATCAATCAGTGGACAAAGAGGTAAAAATATGACGGTCCGTACGTAGTACTGAGTTATTGACTTGTAGAGCGTGGCGATGTCGAAATTGAGTCCCAAGTTGACGAGCGCTCGTCCCTCCGGATCGAATGGCAGGATTCCCGAATCTGGGCCGCACTTCTCCACCAGGTAGATCATTATCGCCCGACTGCAACAGTCACCATCATTTTTCATTCATCTTCGAGGCGTCGCGATGATTACCTTATCGCTTATTATGAAAATTTGAAGAAAAAAATCGTGCTGAAAAAATGTCACCAAATATACAGAACAATATGTGTGCGCAGTGCATCGGAAATTGTCCCGCACCGCCATCTGACGTTACAATAAAGAAGAAACAGGCGCGTATCTTGGGTCGGTCAAAGAGCGGTCTTTCCTGGTAGTGCATCGTGATTAAATATTTAAAAACCTGCACTGTGCGAACCTTTCCCCAAGTTTGAAGTCCTCGTCGACGAGAAATGGCACCTTTTTCTCTGGATTGATCTGATTGAAAACACGTATGATACTCGTGAAAATGGATTATTGTTAAACAAGAAATAATTGGTAAATCGAGGAAAGAAAGTAAATAGTACCTCTTCGAATTCCGAAGTGAGTTGTTCGCCTTTGAAAATGTCAATGAAGCAGAGTTCGAGCGAGACGCCGATGTACTCGGCTGTCAATAGAATGGCCCGAGACGGTGGACTGTACGGGGCGTAATAGAGTTTCATCTCTCCGCAAAGTTATATTTTTTTCCTTTTGTTTTTAATAAAATTTTTATCAATCGGCACAGACACGCGACAGTCGCGATAAACGGGGTCGCGTTGTAGGCTGGAGCAACGGCACCGCACTGAGGGGGTTGCTTATAGCTTGCGGTATAGTTTCATTACGCCAGAGTCGATATTTCAACGTGACAGTGGCAATATAAAGTAACATCATATCTCCGTCTTACGTAGTATCATAATAGATAATCAAGATTAATTAAAATAAAACTTTTTTTACTTTGCTCGTAAAAATTATTAATTCATTCATCGTTTGTGGAATGTTTCATTCATAAAAACACATTTACAATATATATATATATGATGGTGGCCAGTAAGTGCTAAAAAATAGCAACGACAGCGAAAATTGATTCACTACAAATAAAATATTCAACAGGGAAATCGATCAGTTTTCTTTTCCATAAGATTCTTCGCTAACATGTTTATTAGTTTGATACTGTAACTTACATTGTCAGCTGATAATTGTAAGTAGAATCTAGATTTAGAAAAAGATATAAGTATAATTTAAATGTACGAATTGTTTACACCTCACAAATTGAATTTGCCTCGGTACTCATGAATTTTATGAATATTTTGTTGGTTTTAACATTATACCGTTCATTGGCAAAGTTGTTTTCTATCATTTTCATCGCGGAATCCATCGACCTATTGTACTGTGTGTCCACAAAAATAAAGTGAACGAGTTTATTTTACTTCTAAATATGCCTTAATAAAAATTGTTATAGCTGATGAATGTGAGTTTTAATAAAAAAATTAATATTTTATGTGGACTGCTCGTACTCTTTACTGGTTGGTCGAGTGTCTTGAACAGTTGTTAATGATTTATTAACCAAATGTGAGTAAATCTTTTGGTCAACGTGTTCAGGTGTAGACATATATATATTATATGGTCATTAAAGTTGATGGGCTTAAAATTGACATAAAAAAACGAACCAAAAATAGAAATTTGGATCACAAATATAAATTTATTTCATACATTGAACATAGCGTTTTACTTGTGCTTTCTTCGTTTTGTTTATTTGTGATAAAATTTTTGTGATTTTTCATAAAAATTAAAAAAAAAAGAAACAGTAGATCACGGAATGATCACGATAATCACACAAAATCATCTGTTTTCTTCCTTCTTTTGAGATTATTGATAAAAATGACTGCTCCATACATTTTTTACTTCTTCATCAAGTTGTCTATCAGAGCTTTGAAAGCTTTTAGACCCTCGCCATTGGTCTCCTCGTACTTCGGAGCTTCCTTCTCCATCCTCGCCAACCATTTGGTGACGTTCTTGAATTTGCTCATGTCGAAATCGACGATCTGAAACAAATGATCGAAAGCATTGAAAAACCGATAATCACCTGTACTCTCGTAGTTTTCGTTCGTCGCTATTCGCCAATTGCGAAATGCGTACCGTGAAGTTGGAGACAGATGAAGTGAGAACCAGATCGGCCACGGTCAGGCTGTTTCCAGCCACGTAGTTTTGTCCCTCGAGGAAGTTCTCGAGGTAGCCGAGGGCCTCGTTGCACTTTTCGAGCTTGTCCTTGTCCGCGGGTGCACCGCCGAACACTTGTGGGTACTGAAATCAACGTCAACAAGGTTTTATCTCAAATTTTTTGGTAAAAAAATAGTAATTACGACAATTAAAAAGTGCTGGATAATTTTCCCTGCTAAGTTTCGAGATAATACTTGATTTCAAGAGTGAAAACATTGTGAATTTTTCCTCGAGCTCAAGTCTCATACATATAACTTACGTAGTAGTCAGCGAATGATTGGTACATGGTTCCCATGTCGAAGTACAGGCGCTGGTTTATGACGGCACGCTGTTTCGGGTCTTTTGGGTAGAGGGAGTCGTTCTTGGCGTACTTGTCGCACAGGTACGTGCAAATGGCTCGACTGCACAAAACACCACGTTGTTAATATTTTTAACCTTTTTTTTTTTTTTTTTTTTTTTTTTTTTTTTTTTTTTTTAAAAAAAAAAAAAAAAAAAAAAAAACAATCAGGAAAGTCGGCGAAGCTTCACAACCAACGACGATGTTACTTAAACGTGACATCATCATAGTAGTAGGGTAATTGCGCTCAGTCGTGGATCTATATAGTAATTGTCATGTCCCTACACGCGCGATGAGTAANTTTCATCTAAAGAAGAAAACAAGTATCGTAAAATACCTTTCCCACAAGTAAAATCCATTGTCGTTCATGGTGGGCACGGTGTGCTGGGGGTTCATCTGCGGGAAGAAAATATCATTATTTATACTGTCAATGTAAGCTATACAAAAACATGTAGCTCGGAATATTTAAAGTCTGCACAATTGTTTTTCTTTTTTTCAAAAAGCTTTTTACACACAAAACACGCGTTAATACGTAAACGATGGATGCGTTTATCTTTTCAGCGGATCAATACACACACGTATTTGAAAAAATTCACAAAGTTACTTGAGAATTTCGTTTTTTTTTTTGTTTTTTTGTTTTTTTGTTACTGCAGAGATAAGTTTTATTTCTGCCACAATGGAACACGACGTGATTGTAGGTCGTAAAACTACACTTGCCTTGATGAACTCGGGCTTGAGCTGCTCCTTCGCCGTGAGGTCGGTGAGCTTGAGGTTGAGCTCGACCCCGACAGCAGCGGCGACCATACGGACCGACCGGCAGGGCCCGCTTCCGGGAACGTAGTAAAGATCGACCGGCATTGTTTGGGGTGTTTTCTGAAATGTAAACGAGCCTAAATTAAATATTGCGCTTTGAAAGGGTTTGATTCAAATGAGCCAACGGGTTCCCTTCGCGTTTCCAAGGGAAAAAAAGCAAAGGTGGCGTGTGTAGAAGCCAATGGACACGAGGAGGAAGTGCGACACACGCGAGCAAGGGAGCGGTCGGTGCACTTCCAGTTTTACCGCCTCGTCTATATAAGTATACCCACCACCGGAGCTTCGGCCTACGCGCCGCGACATTCTCCTCGGCGTCCTGTATATACGTGTATTTCTCGTCCTGCTCGGAAACTCTGTGACACGTGAGTGTGTAGGTATACATGTAATGCGCTCTCTCCTACGTTACATTGACTTATCGATCTGCTCGCCTTCCACCTGCGCTCGATCTAGAAACTTTTTTTTTTTCCCTCCCCTCCACCGGCACAGAAAGTAAATGGGAAATCGGTTGCGCCCGAAAAAATATAGAAAACTCCTGTGTAGCAACTACATTTCCTTGTATGATGCCCATTGTCGAGACTACAGTTAAATAAGATGGACGATATTCTCCTATCTCGCGTCATTAAACTTCACTTAACGCGCGAGCCTCGACAAATTAAAGCGCGAGCTGTCTTGCCGGTACACACAACAGCTATTATATATATATGCTGCCGGGGATGTTTCGCAATGAGCCGATGTGCATACATACAGCATATTTATGTAGGTACTAGCTTCTCGAAACAGGAATGCGCGTAAAGGTCCTTGGTTGGAAAAAGGCGCGCGCGAAAGAGATTGATACGGCAAGTGCCCGTGTACATATACATTTAGCGCGCACTCGTCGTTCCCGGTGTAAAATATTATCTACACACCCAACATCGCATCGGCGACTCGCCGGCGAGTTACTGCTATATATAAAATATGCTCCGTCTCCTTTTCTCTCCCTCGGTCGAGTCATCGCCGACGCGACAACGCGCTCCCCGAGAACGTAATTATTATTATTACGGAGTCAAGTGCGGTGTGCCTATTTACTTTTCTGTACAGTACGCGATTCTCGCGTCTTCCCCCCCCCCTTTTTTTTTTTTTTTTTTTTTATACGTTCGCCTGCACTGTGCATTCGATTCCTACCTCGTTCATCATCCATTGTGCCGCTACAGCTTTTTTTTTTTTTTTTCGTTTTCCCACGAGGCGTATACGTGTGCGGCTACTGTCTCTCCCTCTCTCTCTCGCGTGGCTCCCTAAAAGCCGGCTATTTTTCGTTCAACGCGTATAGGTATCACGGGTTTCGAGTATTAAATTAATGCAGCTATGACGATGATTTCAGAAATTGTGCAATTGGCGATTTTGCTTAAAGTTGTATTACCATTTTTATTAGAGGACTGTGTGGAGACTTATTTTTCCCTTTCCCAACTTCTTATCTATTGCGTTTCTGGAAACGTTGTTTTGGTACCTCATTGTACGGACGTTGAAACTGATAATAGTCGACGCAAGATTATCTCGTTTGTTGCAATCGATGCTTATTTAACGCATACTATCTGCGACGAATAAAATTTTGCGCAACAGAGTGCCAATAAATGAAATACCTAAAACTAGTTTGTCGCAGTCGTAGTTGATTTTTTAGACGATCGGTTTGCTTTTCGATCAACTAATATCGTATTTCAGTCATGAGCGAGAAGTATTAAAAAAAAAAAAAAAAAATACCTTTAAAACACACACACACACAAGCCACACTTAGGTACAAAAACAACCAGAACTTGCTGGTGGACTTACCGTTTGTTCGCGAAATTCAAGCACTAAAAAAAAGGACGAGGGTCAGCGTCGCGGATATAGTGTCTCGTGCTGGAGCGTCGTGGCACGTCTGAAGCACTGCTCGCTCGCCGGGGCGTAACGTTAACAACTCTGGCAAGCCTGCGATGCCGGCCTCACTCTCTCTCTCTCTTACATGCACAATCACAGTTACACCCACACGAGCGAGCTCCGCGCATGTATAACATGTACCCATCACGAGCGATGCGTCCACCATATTATATACCTAGCATACACAACGTGGATTCAACTAATGACGATCTACCAAATAAGCAGTCGCCACCGATGCCTATCGTGCTTGCTTATATATACTTACGTGTCAGACCGCACCGGGCAAGATGCAATATATTTCTAGACTCCATTTTCGTGCAGGTACATTGGAGAACGTAGATGACGTAGATCAAGCGTGAAAATTAAGTCAAGATTTTTACGAATGAGCGAAACATGGATTCGTGAGATGCGATTGACGATGAATACGGTTACTTCCGCTAGGCTCTCGAGGAAACGATGAGTACACGATATAAACATGCCCTCAAGATTTTCGCTTGCACAAACCCGAGTTGAGATAGGATTAAAACGTAATAGGTTTTAAATGCAAAGCATTAAAAATGTTGGGGAAAAAATTATTCAAGGTTGCTATACCGTGTTGTGGTAGTTGTCAAGAAGAAACGGTAATTTTTTTTTTTTTTTTAATTTACCGACGTAACGCAAGTGAAAGTCTCTCGGTTCATGTTAGCCTTGAGTTGGAAGCGTAAAATCGTTAGTAAATTCCACGGCAGCGCAACAAAAGGTATGTCAAAGACATGTCGGATAAGTAGTACAAAGATGGCAACCGCCATACTAAACAGAACCAAGCATTCATCCGTAAACGTTTGAGTTATCAATGTAACGATACAATCAAAGTGATGGATCACTAGTGGCAAAGAAGTTTAATGTTGGCATTTTTATTCAGAAAATGTTTATTTTACAACTACTGGTAGTGAAGGTTTTTCTGTTGTATTATACATAATATCATTAGTATCATTGATAGTTTAGCAAAGTTGTGCTATCTGTCCTTTCAAAAAAGGCCCATAATAGTTTGCTTTTTGATCAAAAACAGAAATACGGTTCTCCGTTTGCTTTATTCTGCCATTAAGTTTGTCCAAAATAAAGGCAGCTTTTTCTCGAGACAGAATGGCTTTAAACTAAAAAGAAATTCACATTAGTTTCAAATAATTATAAAGATCTCGGTGTGCGAAAATTAAAAATGAATAAACAACTTTACTTGATCAAATTGTGAAGTCTGTCTTATTTCGGAACCCAACAAATCCAGAAATTGTGTAAAAGAGTCGGTTGCGTTTCCAAGCCTAAAATTAGTTAAATTAATATACTTTAAGAATTATCCGCAACAGTTAAAAAAAAATATTACCTCAACAATATTTTATCAAAGTGATTGTTGATGAAATTCAAACAAATATTAATTCGCTTGTCATCCCCTGATGGGTACAAACAAACCGCTTTGAAAACAGACAAAACTTGTTTTTCTGGTATTGTTTCGTTGTTTGTTATAGTCATATTGAGAAAATTGTTCAAAATAGATGAGTTTTCAGAACAACCAAGATGTATGAGTACATCCTCCGATTGTTTTTCCTTATATTTATCCAACATTCGATTCCAAATCGATTCGTTTGCGCCGTGCAAACCGACACATTGAGCCCAATCTTGTATATCAATTGAACCTCTGTAAAAATAATTGTTCAATGTTGATCAACAAGTTTTGGAATGACTCTTGTAATTGATTTAATTTTAATGAACAAAATAAATAAGCTAACAATTCGGATTTTTTATTATCCAGGTAAGCTTCTAACTGCTGCGTAGCGTTGTTCCAACACTTTTCGTAGCCAAAATGACAAGCCCAATAATTAGTGATTCTTCGTAGTAACAAAGTTAAAAAGTCATCATCTGGACGGTCTGTATAACCAATTTTATCAGCTATTGGAGTAATGAGGAATAAACTGAATTTCTGGATAAACAAAAAAATGAAAACGTTTTACTCGAACGGAATAAGTTGTGTTTGTTGATTATTAAATTGTATTTATTGTTACCTTTAAGCTAGGATATGCGTGAGTGTTTGCTAAGTGATAGTTTAAAAAACTAAATATGAACTGGGCGTCGTACCATGGTATGTAGTCACTTTCTTTTCGCAAGTAAGACAGAAGATCGAGAAAAACATCCATATCTAAGTGTCTCTTGAGTGAAAACTGGACGGCATCGTTAATGATTTGTGCTCGATTGATGGGGGATATTTTATCATAATTTTCACTATTCAAAAATCCCGCCAATCGTTTCCAATTCTCTTTATCGTACAAAACGCGATAGTACCCTGAATATTAAGGTGTTGTAAGAGCCAGATTAGCAGAAAAAAAAAATTTCAAAATAACTTTTGTTTCGTTACCTGTTTGCTGAATGTTAAAAACAACCCAATCTTTTGAATCTACACCTTTAATAATCAATTGTTCCATCTCTGGCTTTAACCAATGGGTCGGGTATGTTGTATTGAAATTTGGATTTGAGTGAGTTGCATAATTGATTGGGATCCACCACTTGGTCGTCACATTGTTCTCGGTTAGTCCGAAAAATGTGACTGCTGGAGTTTGAGAAACTTCTATCGATCCATCGGTATAATTTCTTTTTACTATTATTATGGGATAAAGTTCTGTGTTCACCCATGATTCCATGACTTTTGCAATACTAATATTTTTAAATCTAGTATCTTCGGATGCATTGATAGCATTTTGTACTGCATTCCAAAAGTGATCAAGTCTCACGGCTTTATATTTGCTGTTATTTTGAATTTTTTTAACGTAAACGTTGTAATTTATTTTAACGATTTTACACTGGTATTTTTTTACTTACTTTGCTTTTAAAAAGTTTGTAATACCAGAAAGAATAATATCTTCACTTAAATAGTATGACATCATTCGTATCAAGGATGCACCTAAAAGTGTTTTTTTTTTTTACAATACGCGTATGATTAGGTTTTGTAAAGAAAGTCTAATTCATTTACCTACGACCCGTGAAGAGTAAGATTTTCTTAATAAACACTGAATATCCTCTGGATTGTCGACATATAGTTTTTCATTCAGTGGAAAACTATCCGTGATTTTATTGGGTATAAATGACTTACGTTGCAACTCCCAGACAACGAAAACTTCTCTTAATCGCCAGTTAGGCATAATCTAAGTGTCATAATAATTATTTTTATAATTATTGGTTTGAAATGTAGCGATAAAAATTCCATTAAAATCAAAAGTGTAACCTTGTCTGCAATATAATATTTTATGTATTCTGTTAGGGCATCATTTAACCACATGTGCTTCCAGGAAACAGGACTGATGAGGTGATTAAACCACTGGCTGACAATGTCTCGGGATGCTTGTAAAACGACATCTTTCTTTTTTTGTGGGCCTGACTTATCATTATACAAATTCTGAGTTTTTCTAAAAACCAAGCAAATTATTTAAAGTTAAAACGTATTTTCTGGAAGTTCAACAGCAGTATCAAGAGATAATACTTTAATGTTATAAAACCCATGCTCGCGGAAGAAGTGACATCAGCTTTTTCTGGAATGATGAGAGTTATTATAGTATTTAATGGATAATTTATTTTTGTTAAATTTTCCATCAAAGACATGGCCTTCATGTGCGTATTTTGTGCGAGTTTGACTGATTTTAAATCAGTAGCCGTAGCATACATGATGTAAGTCTTGTTTTCATTTGTTTTTGTCAAATTCTTTAAACTTTTTATCACTGCAAAGTTAAGTTGATACGTTGAGATATTTGACATGGGATGCGAATGAGACCATTTTTGTCCTTCTTTGAACTCAACGCAAGTTTTGGGTGTTTTAGGCATGAGTGTCGTGTAGTTTAATGAAGTTTGTATTGTAAAATGAATTTCGGCTTTTGCTCCAAGTTCATCTCGACAAGGAAAAACTCGCCTTGCCGATGTTGGAAAAAAATTAGTCAACAGCATTCCACTAAAAAACCACATGAAACTTTGTTATATGTTTGATTTTACAAAGCATGAATTCGATGAAATTCACTCACTTTTTTTGACCATCGTCATCTTTGTAATATCGCCTGTAAACACCAATAGGATCGTTATTGATGGTACCCATGTAATTTATTTCCAATGTGTATCTTCCCGGTTTTACTACTTCTTCAAACTTTATTGTTACTATTTGCTCTTGCTTGCGGTAGATAAATTTACACGGTCTCACCGTTTCGGACGAAAAAGCCAACGCCTCGTCAGAGTGTTGAGCCAAATCGTGGTCATTTTCCAGGTCCTTGAGTGACGTTAATGCGTCAAAGGTATCGTTAACTCTACCTTTTAAAGCCAAATAGACGCCTTCGTCACAAAAATTCAATTCTTGAGAATGTAAAGATACGTTCTTTGTTGGTCGTAGAATAAGAAGATCTATATGGACGTAGCCACTAAAGTTTCCATCGTTAATGCACGGATCTATGTAGACTTGATAACGTAACGGTTTGATGTGATGAAAAAAGTCACAAGTTTTATTTTGAATATTTTTCCGTTCTCCACAATCGATTTTTGTACCCGATATTAATAATACGCAACTTGCTAGAGCCAAAAATGTTCTTTCTATCATCTTGTACCGACTACAGACGGACGCCGTTTGACACGTTTCTTCGGATGGTCATTCAGTACCTGGCAGTGTACTTATTGAATTAACCTTGAGCGATGAATAAATTGTACTAAAACCTTGTAAAGATGATTGCATTTGGAGTATGGGTAGCCTTCAATGTTGCCAATTATTTAACCGTGTAAAAAGCAATTCGACATTTATTTCAGAATACACAAATTATTTTACTACAAGCTTTTACTTGTCACCAACATTTAGTTTTATGAAAAAAATTAGTATGCCATACACAATTTTCAAATTGAAACAGCGTCATGCAAAGTTTGTTCATTATGATCACAATAATCGATACTTGATGTTTGATTGAAAATTCATTCTAAATAAGTATGCGTAAGTAGTGTTTATTTTTCAGGCACAACCATTCTGTGCGCAATTGGTACGCTTGAAGCCTTTTATTATCGAGGGGTCAAGTTTGAACATATAATTTATTCACCTAGACCTATATTTACGAATCAAGCGAATTATACTATCGTCCAAACCTATAAAGCTATTATAAGACTGTTACGTGACGTAACTCTTTCATTTTATTTTACAATAAAACTTTATTAATTTCTACATGTTGAGTACACAAAAATATAACAGCCTACCTTAAATAAGTTTACAATTGAAAAATATTTTGCATTTAAAAATAAAAAAAAAGTGAGCTCTAACAAAATTTTGCTCACTATTTATCAGTCAAATGCATTTAAAATATGTAATAATAAGAGCGTATGACTGGATGTATGATGTATGTTTTTAAATGACAATACCAAGTTTGTACTATTATTAACCATTTAACTTTGATAAGTCATTGCCACATTTATCCATAAAATAAACTTATTCATCATTTGAATTAATAATTATCAACAATGATTATTTTTCCTTGTAGGATGGGTACTAGAAATGCGAACTTGTAATCAAAGAGATCCTACGTTCAAGTCTTGATTTTGACCATCTTACATGTGTATAGGGACTAGGTATAAGGTCTTTGAGTACATTAGAACCACATATAATTATAGTGGAGTGCAATGCAATAACAGCAGCAATGCCAAAACAATTTCACCTTGATAAATTAGAATAATGTTTTAAAAAATGCATTTTTATTTTAACAAACAAATATGTTAAACATAATTAGTGCTGAAATTAAAAGAATGGACGTCGAAAAAAGTTCTACACCATTTTTATTTGAACGCTCCATTGCGCTTTTAATTATATCTTGGTTTTCTTTGAGCCAATCAATGTTTTTCTTTGCTTCTTCTATGGCTGGCATTACCGCATGTTCAGGAAAATCTGTATCTTTTATGCTTTGAAGCTGAAAAATAAATAATTGAAACATCGTAAATAGTGATAGTTGAGAATGTCAAACCATGAATTTTAACTTACCTTTTCAAATTGAGCAGTAGTTGTGATTTTCTTGCTCACAGCAAGAAGTACAGGCGTTATTTTAGTAGTATCAATATGCCTGAAATTAATACATCAAGCCAATATTAGATGTTACTTTTATTTGTTGCTTGACGTGCAAATATTACGACAAAAAAATTACTTTTGCAGAAGAGCTGAAAATCTGTATTTTATTATATCCAAAGTAACGTCGATTCCCACTTCGCTATTTTTATGTATGTATTCAACTATTTTTAGCGTTTCATTTTTAAGATGGGAGTTTTCTGTCAATGTGTAATTAAAGTAGTAATCTAAAATATTCTTATCAGACGAACATGCCAACGCTGAGATCAATATATTTTTTTCATCGTTATTTGTTGACGAATCACTTTTATTTAATGTTTTATTCCAAATTTCAAATGTTGCATATCGTAAACCATTACACAATGTTACTTGTTTCAAGTCGGGAGTTATCCTTAAATCAAACGGTAAATTAAACTTTTTTTGCTCAAGGTAGGAAGAAATTCGCAACAAAAATGAATAGATACGCACCAAGTCTTTTTTGAATCTTCAAGCCAACTTTCTAATACTTTTTGTGTTTCTGTGATGCACGAAGTCTCATTTGATTTTACATTCAATTTACATGCCCAATCAACAGCTGTGATTCTATTCAGTTTAGTTAAATATGCCTTTTCAGATTCATTACGTGCTTCTTTAAAGCCGACAGATTCAATTAACGGTTTCATTGTTTTTGAAGCAAAGTCCTAGAACATAAGATGTCGGTAACATAGAATATCTTTATATAAGTATCAATGTTACTTTTAGGTAATAGAGCAAATTAAGCATTCAAGCGTCCAATGTATCACAGATAAGTATTGTCCATGCAATAAAAAAACCAGTACAAATAAACAGGCAATTTTTTGCGCAAAAGCGCATGAAATTATGCAACGAGCATTACCTTGAAAGCAGGATAAATCTCTGTATCCATTAATTTTGACTTTAGCCACGAAAATGCTTTAAATCCAGGGTACCATGCGATGTAGTCTGTTTCATATTGTAGGTGCTCAATTAAGTTCAAAAGAATCGAGAGTTTCAATTTTCCCTGTTTGGCGAAGGCCAAAGCATCGTTTATTAATTGAGCGCGATTCAACACGTGAATACTTGTATGATTCTTTAAATTGAGATACTTAATTATCAAATCCCAATTTTCTTCGTCATACTGTACGCGGTAATAACCTGTAAAAAATACAACATTAAAATTAAATTTTGGTTCTCGCTTTTGTACATTTCTCATTATTTGCGCTACGATGTAAAATTAACCTGTTTGCTGCTTGTTTAAAATTATGAACTCATTTGCATCAATTGTAATAGGAATTTTGTCTGTTTTTTTTGTTAGCCAGTGTTGAACGGATGTATTACTAAATTCTAAATTTTTTTCTCTTGCAAAATTAATTGGTATGTGCCATACGTGTGTACTATTTTTTTCTTCTTCGCTCGGTTCATAAGTGTAAAAGCGTTCCTGAGTCACTGTAATACTTTTGGAATCATTACTTCGAGTAACTTTTACAACAGGATATCCTTTGAAATTAACCCAAGTATTCATGATAGCTGTCACGTTAATGTCCTTGGATTTCACTGCTTTTTGAATAGCATTGAAAAGATCGTCAGAATCGGCTGCATTGTGATTTCTATCATAATATATGTTAAGCGGACCCGTTAATCAAATTTATTAGTTTTTTTTATATCAATTATGTAAATGGATTTTTAATATAAAATAACTTACACTGTATTATTTTTCAGATATATGTTAAGTCCTTTCCTGAAAATCTCTTCGGTAAGGAAGTGTTGCATCATGCGGATAATTGCACCCCCTTTAATATAAAGTTAAAAATGACGTTTAAAAAATTGGAAAACATTTTCGAGCAAGCTGTAGAAAATATGATTAAAATTTCATATATAGATTGTTCATCGAAATCTTGGCGGAATGATGAAGGTTATCTTAATGTAGCAACAGCTTACTATGGACTATTGAATGACTATTATCACCGGTTATATCAATACTCAAAGCTTCTAATGGTCTTTAGATGATCAAGAAATGTTTACCTTTCTTATACGAGATAGAATCGAACAATGCTCTAATCTCTTCAGGGCTATCTACGTCATGGTTGATAGGATGAGTTTTCGATTCACAATCGAAGTCGAATGCCGCGGTTTGAATAGATTTTACAACCGATTGTTCGACTGAACGCCATTCTGGTTCGACCTAGAAAAAAAAAAAAAAAAAAAAAAAGTAATTTTCGTTTGCATTGTATTAAATTTATGATCATATGATTTATTGGAAATTTTTTCTCACCTTGTCGGTTATGTAGCTTTGGAAGAAATTTGCAAACCCTTCGTTTAGCCATATGTATTTCCACCATTTTGGGCTCACTAGATTTCCGAACCACTGGTGAGCGAACTCCTGATGAAAAAATCAGAATAAATTTAGAGAAACGTTTTAAAAAGTGGCTTGGCAAGTTATGCGAAAAGTAAATAACGAAGTTACGTGGGCGATTGTTTCCACGATGTTTTGTTTGTTGCTGGTAGTTGAAGTATTGCCATCGAATAGCAAAGATTTCTCTCTATCATGAAAAGCATATTTGTCTTTTTTAGAATCAATACGTGTTGATTTGATAGATTTTTAAGAATCGTCTTACTTGTAAAGTACAAGTCCCCAATTCTCCATTGCTCCAGCAGCAAAATCTGGAATTCCAACTTGGTCCATTTTACCCATGTCATAGGTAACTTGAGTGAAATCTTCCAAGGCTTTCAATAATTTTGGCCCACTTTCCAAAGCCACTGAGGTATGATTTATGAAATCGGCTTTAGCATAAACAGTAAAATTATCAGCATTATGTTTACTTTCGAAATTCGAAACTACAAAAGCCACCAAATAAGTTGACATTTTTGGAGTTGTCAGAAATTTAGTTCGCGTTTCATTTTTATCATCAATGGGTTCGCTTTTTTCAACTGGTTTATTCGAGATGGCTTTGTATTTTTTATCGTGAACAATGGTGATGTCAAAGGTCGCTTTAAACGCTGGCTCATCGAAGCAGGGAAATGCTCGGCGCGCATCAACTGGTTCGAAGTGTGTTGTGGCCAGCCATCTAAAACAAAAATTTTTCTTAAAATTTAAACATGATATTGCATGACTAAGGATGCTTGTGTTCAATCATGTGAATTCTGTAACTGATTTTATCATATCATACGTGATGTGGAGGACCAAATCAAATTTTGAATAAATACGCGTAAACCGATAAACATAAACTGATTTATGATGTATATCAGTGTGGCATTCACACTATTATATTACGAAATGAAGTAATTTCAAAGCAACAAATATTTTACATCATAATTTATAGCATGCCCAATTCGAAGTGATTGTATATACAATTTTATACGAAAGTTTCTAAAGTCTCGTTATCTGATTGTAAAAAATTTTGACACACATAGCAATTGTATTAATTATTATAAACTTCAACTCTATAGAATGTGTTATATAATATAGGCAAATTCAAGTATAATAACACAATTCACTAATAATAATCTATCATCCATCAAAAATATCAATAATTTGGGCCTTAGTACTTTAAGTGGAAAGCAGCCGCTAATAACCACACCCTTTTCGATATGACGTGATATCGGAAGATTTCAGATTAAATAAAACAAAAAACTGAATTATAAAAATTAAACTGTAATTACGTACACTTTTTCACCCGCCTGATTGACATAAGAACTTCTGTAAAATCCATGCATGTCATCGGCTAGTATGCCAGAGAATTTTTTAATCTTCAGTTTGTATTTCGAACCTTTCTTGAATTTATAATTATCCGTTGTTTTAATTTTTACGAAATCAGTTTTTTCGTCCGTACTTAGTTCAAAATTTATTATTTCATTTTCTAATCCTTCTTTTTCTATTTCAATATCGGCTTTGGAAAATGTTAAATTCCTAGCGTGAAAAACTATTTCTGCGGTCTCGTTTAGGACCGTTAATTTTATCATGACGGATCCATCAAAAGTAAAATTCTTTTCACCCTCAAGATGCGGAGTCAGCGTAAGTTGATAATTCGTGGGTTCTACGTCAGAGGGTAATCGGTAGTTTACTTTCGTTTTATTTTCTGTCTCCTGAGCGATATCGTTCGTCTTAAATACATGATTTTTATCCGATGAAATAGGTATTGACAATCCTTGTGTTGTGAAAATTAACGCCAAGAAAAATAACACGCTCACTTTCTCACGCATCTTGAATGTTCCTTTGCAATTTCTATTGTTCACACAAATTATACATAAATGTAATATAATTTTAATCGAACGTAAATATTTGCTTTTACAAAAATAGGCACTTGAATATTTGAAGAACGCCAAGTCCTTAAATTTATTACTTACGTGTTGTGTGCTTGACGAGAGTCGCACAGAACAAAGATATGTTTCAAAAAGTAGGAACACTCTAAAGACTGACGCGCAATATACATCACCTTATATGACATCCGGCGAAGATTAGCTAGATAAGGACTATAATCGCGTTTCTAATCTTATCACAGCTTTTATCGATACGGTAAATAGAAAAATTACAACCAACGAATAAGTTGTTCATTTATTGCGAAAAAATTTGCTTTCAATTGTAAAAAAAATTGTTTAGTTTAGTGTTAGTTAAGCGACAGTAATCAAAATGATCAAAAAAGAAATGAAAATATTAATTTTTTTTACTACATGCATCGCGAATATTAACTGTTTACTCTATATAAAACAGTACAATTTCAACATGAAATTCTAGTTTGATTAAAACGTTTTCTCATCAATATTATTACCCTTTGTAAACTCTTTTATTACTTTTTTTAACACAAAGTACATTTTGAAGTTTCCTATTGAATCTCACACGGGCTTTTCACTTAAAAACAACGATGACTAAATTTTGTACTACATTCATCGCAGAAATAGATAGTATCGGCCTGTACAAAGTAAATAAGGCTTGGTCGGGTGTCATTGAAATAAAGGAATTGGGTTGAATTGATACAAAGTCAAGTGTTGTTAAAATTTTATTAAGTCCATTGTTTACATCAACTATTTTTAAAAAGTAATGCATTTTCAGGTCCCCATTTTTATGTGTGATTTTAAATATTTGTAAAATTTAAAAAATTATAATTTCAAGTGAACAACCCAAAAATTAGCAGTAGGATTGGTTAATTTCCTCGAAAATGTAATTTGATCGTAAATTACAACATATTGTGCTGTGTTCTTTATCAATTTATAAACTTTTTGTTTCCACAAGAATTATGTCGTGATGACTAATCGTATGAAATGCAATCAAAGATGGTCTGAAGTGTCAATCGATAAGTATAAAAAAGGAAAACTAGGACAGCACGTTTATAATTACTCATTTCACGTCAAAATAGAAATCAACGTCATAATGTTTTTCATCGCTGCTTTATGTTTTACATTGGTATATTATGAAGCATGATTTCATAAAGTAACATTTTAACAGGCCATACAAATTTTCAAACATTTTTTTTACATTATTCGAATAAGTAATACTTCAATTGTATTCTCTTGAAACGCGTTCCAAGTATTATCTCTCTGGTGAAATCATTCAAGAATCTTGGTGTCGTATCATAAACAATAATCTCGAAAGATAAGTTTAAACAGATTCACTAACTCTTTATACATATCGTAAGGGACTTGCGTAATTATTATGTTGAAAAAAGTATGTAATTAAATGAAACTGGAAAATGAATTGACGTTTATCATCGAAAAATGATGATTAAACGTAATTGGTTAAAAATTTTATTTTCGTTACGTATTACATGCAAAAATTTATATACCACAGCGTACATTAATGCAATATATTTTTTTTATTTAATTTAAGCAAATTCAGCAAGACTTGGAAAATTATTTTTAACTTTATCAAAAACTATTTTGTAGCCACAGTGATATGAATTTTATCAGCCGTCAACGCAATTGTTATACGTGGTTAAAATTTACCAACAGCTGAAATCTGAGGTAACGCTGCGCTCTAGTGACAAAAAACTGTACCTAAAATACATTGATAACTCACTCGATAAACTATAACGCTGTATGCATATGTACTTATATTTATATATTTGTTTTCAATTAATTATGTTATTCGATGTCATTTTTATAACCGTGTACCTTTTTTCAGTTGAAATAATTTGCGATTTGTAAAACACAATCGTTAATCCACACTAAATTATCATTTGCCTGTTTGATTGCCTTTTTACCAGCCTCGAAAGCACTTCCAAGTTGACCAGCATTTTTATTAACAAACGAAGTTAACTAAAAAAAAAAATTGTTAACTAGATGCGTTTCACAGAAAAAAAAATTTTTTTTTTAATATTTCCCGAGTTACCTCATCTAATTGGTCGTTTGACGTTACTTCTTTTCCTATCGTGGTGAATATGTCTCCCAAAAATTTGAAGTCCCTCCTAAAATAACAATATATCCCTTAAGTATACAGCACAAACTGGATTTTCTGGCATTTCCTCGACTCTGTATACTTACAAACGAATTATTTCCATCAACTTTTCGTCCACGTAACCCAACACGTTGCCAATGTTCGCACTGTTTCCAGTAACAACCCACTGGATCATCGAGAGCCTGTACTGAAATTTAACGTCAGCTGCACCAGGTCGAACCGCAGCCTCGATGTACCTTTGACCAATAAAAATCCCATCAAAAATCACAGAAGACACACACAGTCGAGTAGATAGGAGATTTTCGAGTCTCTGCAAGTTTCTTACCTCCTGACGAGATCGGAATCATCCGTTCTGGCCAGTGCTTTCATCATAATCTCCTTTTCCGGGTAAAAATCGCTCGTCGAAAACCTCCGCCACAATTCAATCCAATCGTCCTCCGTTCCGTTAACGATGCCAACGCGATAAACGAAATCCCGCAAATTCGCGGGCACCCTTGAAAAATATGCAATTAAAAATACATACGTTATACGACAACTCGCAAGGTATAAGAAAGTATCGGCGACCCATACGCTTTGCTCTCGTCCTCGATCCAGTCGTCGAAAAGCGATTTAGCCCTCGACACGCAACTGTCGAGGTTCACCGAGCACGCGGTCGAAAGTATCAGATTGCGCTGCAGCCTCCGGATTCTCGAGTCCGACGGGCGCTCCTCGAAGCCCACTTGCTCGTAAATCGGCCTTAGGAGATCGGCGGCGTAACTCTGCGAAAAAGCCGAATCCACGGATCCTCGGGTTAAAAAAAAAAAAAAAACAAGAGAGCAGCCGATTTGGCTTGAAGGATAAATCGTTTGGTGTACCCTGAAGACCAGCCGCAGCCCCGGATTCCCCCCCAACTTGGAGTCCAGCAATTTGATGGCCCGGCAGGCTGGGACCCACGGCTCGTACTCGAGCTCCCGCCTCAGGTACCCCGCCAGATCGAGCGCCAGCTTGTACTCCCTGTACCCAGCCCTCGCCAAATTGAAGACGTCGTCCAGCAGGGCTGCTCTGCTGCTCCTCGGCAGTCGCAGGTGGCCGCCCGAGAGCAGCTCCTTGAGAAGCTCCCAGCCACCCACTCCGTAATCGACGCGGTAGTACCCGATCTGCCGGGGATTCACGACGTACCAGGTGTCGTCGCTCGCGGTGTCCGGCAACTCGGCGACACTGGTCCTCTGACCGTGCCAGCTCGACGACTCGACGAGTTGTCCACTTTTGGTCGACGGGGCTGCTATGGTTACCGGAATCCACCAGGAGCGAGCCTCGTCGGCTCCAAGGGACGACCTGTTCTTCCGACTCAGGTGGAAGACCTCCTGGGTCACGAGGATCCGTCTGACACCGACTCGGTTCACCCGCACCAGGGGATAGTTGGGCTGGTTGGCCCAAGATTCGACAAAGTCGGCCACACTTGGCGCCGTTGGGGACTGATATACTCGCTCCAGGTGCTTGTACAGGTCGGACGGAACGACCGCTCTGTACTGGCTGTAATGAGAACATTGGCAGTACAATACTCAACGATTCCAGCAATGTAAATGGCACACGTGGATGTTTCCTCACTATTCCCGAAGGTACGAACGCATAGCGTCCTGGAACGGCTCGTCGCCCAACGTGTCGGCGATCATGCGTATGATGGACGCGCCTGTAAACAAGTAAGTATGTCATGAGTTTCTTCAAACGTTGGATGAGTGGAGCCAATGACCTTTCTTGTAAGTCACGAAATTGAGGGCAGCCTTGGCGGAGCTGGGACTACCGACGTCGCGGCCGTTCATCGTCCTGTTGTGATCCTCCGAGTCGGCGAGCAAACTGGTCTGCAGCGCCTCGACCGCGAAGAATTCCCAGACGCGCCAGCCCCGGTCCGTGGCGTCGATCGCGACGTAGGCAAAGTACGTGGCGAAGCCCTCCTTCAGCCAGGCCACGTCCCAGAAACTCGGGGTCACGAGGTTGCCCCACCAGCTGTGCGCGTACCTATCGGGGCATCATCGATATTACACATCACTCATCTCTCTCGATTAACCTCAAGGATGATTTGTAAGTGTCGTGTGTTTTACTCGTGGGCCACCGTGACCAGGGCGTCGCGGACGAGCCCGAGGGGCGCTTGACTCTCGCTGGCCAGCGGCACCGACTCCCGGTACGCCACGAGGTTCCAATTCTCCATACCTTGGGACCCAAACACACGGCGTACTTTATTTATTATCCACGAGATATAATAATGTATGTATGGTTGGAGTATGTGCACGCAACGTCACCGTGAAAGTTGAAGTCCGGAATGGCGAACTGGACGAGGTCGCCCTGCAGGGGATCGGTAAGGTTCGTGTACTCCTCGAGGGCCGAGTAGATGAGCGGGCCATAGACGAGGGTGGCCAAGGGCCCGGGGAGCTCTGAATCGCCAAAGCGCGTCCACAATGGGATCCCGGCTCGTCCTCCTCCTCGGGACGGGGACGTGAAGTTGACGCGGTGAAAGTCGTGTATCACCCAGCCAAGGAGATACGTCGACATGGGCGGAGTCCTCGCGAATTCGGTGACGTAGTAATCTGGCCAATCTCTATACATACGGTACACCGAAAGGGACGTTTTTATGTTGTTGGGGCGTTTTATCTCTCCCTTGACTTACGTGGTGCTCACGGATTCGGGGATCGTGTTCGAGGTCACGGTTTCGTTTGCGTAGTGGCCCACGCGCAGCCGGAATCTGGCCTTGAAGCCCGGCTCATCCCAGCAGGGAAAGGCCCGTCTCGCGAACGTCGGCGAAAACTGCGTCACGCCGATCCACCTTCGCAAAAATCGTCAATGTCTTTGTCAATGTCTGTTATAATTGTCGAGACGATTGCGTCTCCGTCATACGATACCTCGTGGCGTTGCCCGACCCGTAGGAGCTCCGATAAAAACCGAACGCGTCGTCCAATACCGTGCCGCGGAAGTGCAGGTTCAACGAGTACCTTCCCGGAGCCAAGTCCTCGGTCAGCGTGATAACGTGGAATTGGGTGTCGCTGTTGTTCCCCTGGCTCTCTATCGGCACGGTCCGTTGATCACCGTTGCCGTTGTCCTCGAGTAGCGCCGATCTCTCGCTTAGTACTTCCAGCTTGTCTGCGTGCAGGGTTATTCGCCGGGTCGTCTCGAGGACGCGCAAGAGAATCGTCACCTCGCCATAGTAATTGAAATCGCCCCTCGTCACGTTTGTCGCTAAGGAGAGGTCGTAGAACTCGGGCACCACAGTCTTGGGTAGCCTGTAGAGCGAAGAGTTGTTTTGGCCATCGATGGTCCCCGGAGGTGCCGATTTTTCATCGATATCATCGGCACTCGCGATCGCGACGCTACAGATGCAGTATAAGACCACGAGTTTGTACGTAAAGACCGACATCGTTTGCTTCCTCGCGCCACGACGGTAGCCGCGATACTGGTGGAGACGAGATTTTTTTTTTTTCTTCATTACAAGATATCTTGTCGTATCTGGCGCACACGCATACCGTATTATCGATAACTGATCGAGTGGCTCGAAGTAGGTGTACCTGTTTTATGTACTTTATTCGTGTACGTGTGAGAGGAAAAAAAAAAAAAAAAAAAAAGAAATTTTTTAGCCCAACATATATACGTATATTGGTTTGACATTATATTTATATCGTCGAACGATTCGCTTATCGTATTCTATTACCTTACTCGTTGGATGGCGATTTTCATGCCCTCGTTCGGTATATTGTAAATGAATTGTTTTGTTTTTCCTCTTTACATAACATAAAACGCGTCGTTTCGTTTTCCCTTGCATCGGCACAGCTAGCAAATATAAGATTAAAGTAAAAAAAAAATAAACAACAACAAAGGTTTTTCATAAGCTTGCGTCCCCGAAAAAATAATTAAACGCGATGCAGGGAGAGCTGAAAAGCCACGCCGTGAAAACCAGTCCAAACGAGCGCGCGCTTGGAAGCGATCGCGGTAATTAAATCGCGGTTGGTGTATAGGCACGTATACATGTACACAGCAGTCACGAGGCGCGCACACGCGCACAAAGAGGGAGAGAGTAGGCCAGACAACTCTTGGCTGTTTGTACGCATAATGCTTCGATGATGCGCACACACGTGTATATATGTATAGGCGTGAGCAAACGAGCAAGCGACGATGGTGAAATTTGGCCAAACGTGCGGAGATGGCTGCCGGCCCCACCGGCTGTACATCGGGCTGTACACGCGTATAAATATCCATATATATATATATATACCTACGCGCGACTGAGGTTTGCCCCGCCACTTGTCCGGATTTGCATGTAATTGAGTGTGCGCTGCCCTACGTGCCCCCTGCCCTTCCCCCACCTGCTCTGGTATAGCTTGACTTTGGCCTCGACCGCTGATGTTATGCCTATATACATGGTATTGTACACTTGCACGCAAATTTCTTTGATGTACATGTATGGGTGCAACTGTGTACCCCTGTGTCGCCGATACTACGCCTTTGACATAGGTCCTGTATATCGGTGACCCACGGTACAGTCAACCATCAGTCAGGATACTACTATAGATTCTTTTGGCATCTTTTTTTTTTAATTTTTTTTTTTAATTTTTTTTCTCTTCTCGACTGCAACCATGAGATTGCGGGCGCTTTTTCCAATAGTTTACTTGGACGCTCATCCATACAGTTGAGCTTGGAAGTCAATTGATGAGGATTACATCAGTTTATCCGGTTGTCAAAAGTTCGTGCTCGGGAGAGCGAATAAAACTTCCCCTTAGAGTGTCACCCAAACGTCAATCAAGTTGCCAATCCAACGTAGGAAACAAAAAAATACAAGTGTCAGAAAAAAAAGGGGGTCCTCGCAAAATAATGGCGCGATCAATCCGTTGAACAACGAGGCGAGGATTTCGCGCTCCATAAGCAAAAGCTGCACGAATAGGACTATAGCGCTTCGTCTCCCCCACTTTCCTCGAAGATGAATAATTACTCGTCGCTTTAACGAGGCACCGCTCTGCTACTGGAAATATACACGTATACGTATATAGGAGGGCAGATATTAGGTGTATACGTGGCTGAGGCGTCTAATGAGCCGGTTCACTTAATGAGTCGCCTCTCCATCCACAGCCCTTGTCCTTAGAGTTTCGCTCCTGTTATCATCCGTGCCTATGTGTATGGGGCGGGCACGCGGGCACCGACGTTTCTCTCGATTGCAGTTGATCATTTTTTTCTTTTCTTCCTTTTCCATCAATTTCATCTCAACTCAACGTACAGAGCGTCTTCAAAGTTCCACCGGAGGCAGAGGAATCGATTAGAGCACCGACGTCTTTGGGTCAATAATAATAACCGATGAATGAGCTCGCACTGGCGATTGGCATACCCTGCATAATCAAGAAAGTGCAGCGCGGGGCGTGGGGTGTCATACTCGTGTCCGGGTGTATACGGGCGTATCCTGCAGCGGGGAGGATGAGGTGCGCGATACTTATGAATACACGAGCACATGGATGTACATATAATCGTGCTACTCTCTCTCTCTGTGACAACTTGCGCTCCCGCAGTGTGGCTTTTGTCTCCGTTTGACAATAACCGGGGGCTTGAGGGGACACGTGGCTATGTATATATATACACACACCTGGTTGCCGGGGAAATTTTCAAACGCGACCGAATTAGGAGTATGAGGCCTTTGCTGCTGGTGTGCTGTTTGCAGATCGGGAAATATTGACGCCTTTCTCTTTTAACGAGGACCGAGGCCCCGCGGCCTGCCGTGCCAGTGCCGCTGATAAGGGCACTATTGTTTACATGCTCAAATGAGGGTTTTTTTTTTTTTTTTTTTTTTTGGTTTGGCCCATTCTCGTGGTCTACAGCCACCGGTTTTTTTCACTCGTCTTTTAGTGCGTTGTGGTATGCTTGTCAATAAGTTTCTTGCATCCGCAAAGCAGACTAACTCCTTCCAAATTGGCTGTATGGAGTATAAGCGAGTTGGGAAACGAAGCTTCCACCAACGAGTGACACGCCATGTTTATGTTATTCGGTGCGCTCATACCCTCGAGGTGGAAGTTACTTTGTTTGACTACTGTAGATAAACAGTATAACTTATCAGTGGCTATCATTTGCACGTGTTTGCTTTCCCTCTCGCGTTTTTTTTTTTTTCTTTATTGGTTCACCATTTCGCCCGGGGTACTTTTTTTTGGCTCAACATGTAGCACAAATAATAACTCGAGCTCTTTGAATGTCGATCCTTTGAACCAGCCTACCAGCACAATCTCCATTTATACCTACCACCACTGATATCCAGGTTAATGTGACTGAAAACAAACAAAAAAAAACAAAAATTTTCTTGCATCTCGGATAAGAGCACGAGAAGCACTACAGTCTTTTAATTGAACAAACCGACATTTCGGTACTTGGTTAATGGTAATTCGAGGGTAATAGAAAAATAGCGAGGGAGAAACAAAAAAAAAAAAAAGAAGAAAAATTGGACAAACGTTAATATATTTTTTTTCTTTTCCGTATAATCTACCGGACAAACGATACGAAAAGTTGGTGAAATATGGGGTGATAAAAAAAAGGTCATTTATCCGAGCAAAAGAGATGTATAAAAGGAGAGAAAAGAAAGCCCTTTTTCGTCCTCCGTGGAAGGGGCTCTCCCTTCTCGATCTTTTTCCCCATAATCGCGCCCTTTCCTCTCCTTTCAGCTGGAGAAAAAAAATACATATTAATGGCCGGACGAGTTGTTTTTTTTTTTTCTTCTCCTTAGCACTTCTTGACGCGCAAAGTTTCGGAGATGGTGGCTTTTGGCGTGTACGTGTATGCATACAGGCGCTGATAAAAGTGTAGAAAGAGTAGGTGTCACGAGACCTTCTGTCCCCTCGAGCACTTTTTCTCTATCTCTTATGTTTTTTTCTTTTCTTTTTCCACTGCTGCTGCTATTGCCGCTGGTATCGCCGTATCGCTCATTCTTTTCACGCGCGCGGAGAAGAAAACTTGGTGATAACGTTCCGGTGCACAAAGACCGACGACGTTGCGCGTAGATTGTGCACGCACTCTATACATATATGCGAGCCTTTTTTTTTTTTTCATCACGGGGAAACTTACCGTATAGTTTTTAATACGCGCGCCTGGAAATTCCCCACATCTCGAGAGAGTTCAGGGTGGCGTTTATTTATTTTTCGTTTCATTGTCCCAACTATACGATGTAGGGTAAACTATGAGCTTCGTGTAATTGTTTCATTTTCTTTTCTTTGTTTTCCAACAACTGCGTTTACCGTAGCTCTATACAAATACGGTCAAAAGACGAAACAAAAATCAAGAGGTAAAGGGCAGATCCTCGTGGCGATGGGTCTAAAAAAAAAAAAAAAAAAAAAGAAGAAAAAAAGATATTTTTTCCAATCACCCATCCGTTGTAGCTATTACACCGTGTATCGACAGCGCGGAGCGGAAGCACGAACCTCGCGCGTGGGAGAAAAAAAAAATCGAGAGCGTCACGTGCGTCACATTCGCGATCAGCTGGCTCTCTTTATTTTTTTTTTATTTTTTTTTTTTTTTCACGTGCACAACGTCCAGATGGACACATATACATCGATCGATCCATCCCGTGCATTTTCCTGCTTCGAAGCAGCCAGCGCTGACGAGATTATCGGAACAGCCGCCGGTGTACAGGTGTACGGAAAACGCCTCCTTCGCCGACCTTGTCGGCGCATTAAATCGGCCAAATGACGTTTTCCACTCGCGAGTCAAACTATACGGGGAAGAGATGTACCCAAGCATCGACGTACAGGAGCGGCCTTTGCAAACTACTCGCGCTCGTCCATTGCCTCTTGGTGGGTGTGCCGTGGTCTGTATACACACATATGCCACCACACGAGAGTGGTATGATTTCGTTACACCTACACACATGTGTATGCGCTTGAAAGCACGTTTCAGGTAACTGGAGGCCGATGGGTGGGTGTATACATATACACACGCGCGTCATCTCGATTTGACGTGCACGGTGTATACCGTATAGCTACACACACGAGCGATTTTTCATTGCATTAGTTTTCCGCTTGTGGGGTTTTCGTTGGCTCGGGTCGTCGTGATATCGCGTTTATTCAGGCCAGTTATAATTGTTGCCGCTGCATATTTTCAAACCAACCATTTCCCGGGTGATTTATTCATCTCGACGCGCCAATTCACCCTCGGGGATGTTCAGGTGGTCATCCCCTTCGGCTCGCCGGGTTCTTTTCATTGCGAAACTTTGTTGCGCTCCCCGCCTATTAATACCATCTTTTCGGCCGACTTTCAAAGTTTTCACCCCAAGAAAAAAACTCGAGACGAAGGGGGAAGGAGAAATATATATATATACGTCAAACGAGCGGACCAATGCCCGCGAAGAGTAATTAAACCGTATACACAATGTACAGATGCAAAGAAAGTTCGCGCGCGCGAGGAAGG